ATTTAGAGCAAACTGAGATTTGCAAATGGCATCTTTGTACTTTTATCACTAGCTCCGTAGTCTTTCCTTTTTGTATGTCCTTTTCAGCCAGCTATCTTTCCCCATGCCTCAGAATACGATCTCCTCTAGCCAAATGCTTAATTCCGGACTTGATTTTTTGAGCCCTATCTTGTATTGTTGGTAAAATAGCATCATCACAGCAGGGGCGTAGGTGACCCTGAACTGAACAACGAATATTTATTGCAGATCTTTCTATTCTGAACCTCCTGTATATACTTCGCAAGCTTTAAGACGTATGCCTATAGTAAGACAGACAACCCTAACCCTATCATATACACCACTCTCCACTTCTCCCAAATAAAACACAACTTTTCTAACTAGCCATTTAAGACTTTGGAATAGTTCACTTGACTGGAAGGGGAAGAATGTCTGTAAATTCTACTATAACTCGACATTGATTCTTATTATAATTCCGTAGAAAACTCATAGAGTTTTGGCTTTAAATTTTTTAGTGCAGACGCCCTACTCAGATAAAACAATCCTTCTTGTTTTCCCGTCTTATTTAATCACCAATTATCGCTCTCCTCTCGTTCGGAGTCAAATGGATCTGCTTACGCGCGGAGAGCGGGTGAGTGTGTTGAGTGGACCGAGGTCCGACTCGGGCAGCTCCGGGGCTGCCGGGCGGTGTGCGAGCACGTCGCCGAGGCTGCGGTCCCGCCGCGCGGTTTAAAGGCGGGGGCGGGGCTCCCGACGTGCAAGCCCGTTCTGACTGACGCTGCTCCCTGGCGGGCTCGCCGCGGACCAGCCTCTGTGCAAGCCTCGAACCTCGCCGGGGTAGGGATGGGACTGTGAGGCCAGGAGTTCCTAAAGCAGAGCGAGCAGGACGTCACTTTGCAGCTCGCCATCCAGTCCTGACCCGGAGACATATCGGCTTGGGAGTCGTCAGGAGTTGGAATTCTCAGGCTTTGGGGCTTTATAGACGGGCGGGGTTTAACCCTCTTGCCCCCCCGATTTGCTGAAACCTAAGGAGGATACGACCTCTGTCGGGGAAGTCAGCTAGAGTAAGAGCCATGAGTTAAGCTTCTTTCCGGGAGTGTCATTTCTTTGATGCTGTCACTGGAGTTTTCTTTTTGGGGAGGAGGGGGGAACGCCCGACTTTTTACATTTACTTTGAAACCCCATTGTGCTCGCTGATGGTTAAGATTATTCAGGTCGGTGTTGTGCATCCCTGACATTTTTCTCATCCCATTTGACTCTCAGCCTCAGGGAAAGGATGCGCCCTCTGCTTCGCATGATCTGAATGAACTCCCTTTGCTGGGAAGTTCTTGTCACTTCTTTGCCAGGTGAACTTGTCTTTGAGGACTAAGTGTGGTTGCCCTAAAATCCAGTAATTCAATTTATCCAACCCTCCAAGCTGATCACGCCCCCTTATTTAAAAAAAAAAAAAAAAGACAAGGTTCAGCCATTTGTGCTTGTTGCAAGCCTGAAGACTTGAGTGGACTTGAGGGCAATCCTAGTAACCCACATGATAGAAGGGGAGAGCCAACTCCTTCAAATTGACGTCTAAACAGGAACGCACACACAGAGATGAAACAAATACGTAAATAAGAGGACAGTCTGGGCAGATGGTGGTGGTGCATACCTTTAATCCCAACAGTGGCAGGCCAATCTGTGAATTCGAGGCCAGCCTGGTCTACAAAGCTACACAAAGAAATCTTGTCTCAAAAAAAAAACAAATAAATAAATAAATAAATAAAACATAAATTAATAAAAAAAAATAAAAGGACTGACCTGGAATTCTCTGTGTAGACCAGGCTAGCCTCAGACTCACAGAGATCTGTCAGCCTCTGCCTCTCAAGTGCTGGTCAATCTCTTTGTGTTCCTGAAGTATATTGTACCTTTGTTTATTATCAGTGACACTAAACAGTGTACTGAGCTCCTAATAATATAGAGTGCATGGCATGGAGTGCCAAGTGCTCAGAGATAAGAGTAGAGTCCCTTGTCTTGAGGACTCGTGGAAAAACACATGTAGATTACAGTGCAGTTACAGGGACAAGGTGACAGGGAGTCCTCCCTAACTCCTCACTGTGCTCAATGCCATATGTCCTGATGACTCCAAATTTCCATCCTTAGCGTCCCCCCCCCTCACCTATTGTCAAGACTTGTCTACTTCAGTTTAGGAAACAATTTATTCATCACATATATTATTGCTGGGATCAAGGAGTTGACATTTTAGTGTGGTTGTCAGCTGAATTGAATTAGAAACACTTGAGAAACATTTTCTTTTCTTTTTCATCATTCCATGGTGAAAATTGAACCAAAGGCTTGTGCACCAAGCCCAAAGGCTTGTGCACCAAGCCCAGACACTAAGTCCCCTTCCTGCCTCATTTAAAGGGAGAGACTCCTGAGTTGCCCAAGCTGGTCTCTCCTGAGATCCACCTGCCCTAGGCTCCCAAGTGCTGGGAGTACAGATGCCCTACTACACCCAGTGTAAACAGTGTTAGAAGCGGAACCCAGGGCTTCCTGCATCCTTGGCAAGCCAGCTGGACCCCATACCCTGAGCATCCCCTAGGAGCATTTTCAGAACACTTTTTGTCCAAGCTCCACTCCCTGGAAGTCAGTAGCCATGCTCTGAAAAATCTACAATGATTAGAAACAGTTGGTGGTAGTGCACGACTTTAACCCAAGCACTCAGGAGGCAGAGGCAGGCAGATCCCTGAGGGTTTGAGACCAGCCTGGTCTACAGAGCTAGTTCCAAGACAGGCTCCAAAGCCACAGAGAAACCCTGTCTCAAAAACAAATAAAGGGGGGCAGGTGGCTGGAGGGACTAGAGAGATGGCTGAGTGGTTAAGAACACTGGCTGCTCTTCCAGAGGACCTGGGTTCAATTTTCAGCACCCATGGTGGCTCGTAACTGTAACTCCAGTGCCAAGGGATATGACACCTTCACACCAATGCATGTAAAATAAAGTTAAATAAATTATTTTAAAAAAGAAGCAGTTCTTGTCCTCTCAGACTCTGAGGCTGATGAAGGGAGTCAGCCATATTGAACGATCTGCTTTATTTTGTACATAAAATGTAAATGGCACCGGAGGAGGCGATGGCTTTACAACTAACCTACATACCTAGCACAAGCTTGATTTCTTTCTCTTTCTTTTTTCAAAGATTTTATTTATTTACTTATTTATTTTTATCTTTAATTTATGCATTGGTGTTTTGCCTGCATATGTATCTGTGTAAGGGTGTCAGATCTTTTTTTGTTTGTTTATTTTGTTTTTGGTTTTTTTTTTAGATTTATTATTATGTATACACTGTTCTGCCTGCATGCCAGAATAGGGCGCCAGATCTCATTACAGATGGTTCCATGTGGTTGCTGGGAATTGAACTCAGGACCTCTGGAAGAACAGACAGTGCTCAAAACCGCTGAGCCATCTCTCCAGCCCAGCACAAACTTTCTTGAAGAGAGATCTGAGCAGACCTCTTTGTGGCTGCCACAGCACCCTTTCTTTTTCAGAGGCACAAACGGAGACTTATTTGGTAAAGATGGATAGGTCTGCAGCATGCAGGGTAGCTCCATTTCTGACACCATCTCCTGACCTCACACTGTTTTATTATCTCCTGTGCAAAAGCTACTGGATTTAATGCATTCAAAATATATAAGATGTTGATTAGTGGAGGAAGAAAGAATTGTCCTAGGTAATCCTATGTAGGACAGAAGGTAGGTGTTCTGTCTTGGACTAAGAATTACATGCCTGTTCTGCAGGTGGTCAGGGAAAGAATCATTTGAGGGGTGGTGTGTGAACTGGATCTTGAAGGTCACATGGGCTTGGAACTTGGGGAAATAACCAGAAGAAGAGGAGGCCTCCAAGATGGAGGGATACCCTATGAGAGCAGTTTTGTGTGTTGGAACATGCGTGTTTGTTCCTTGGTGAGGGTCTTAACAGCCAGGGAAAGAAATCCAGCCACGGATCTGAGCCACATGGGTTGGCTCCTGCCTCCTAAAGGAAAGAAGAAAAAGGAGAGTGAATTCTAATTTTTCTGTCCCTGCTGCCCACCCTTTTTTCTTAAATTTATGACAACTCTGAGGAGTCAGTTCTTACCTTCCAGTTAGAGGCGGGGTCTCTCTTGTTTGCACTGCTTATTCCAGGCATAACTGGACCTATGGACGGACAGACAGACAGCCACTACTTCATCTTGCCGTCTGAATTAAGGTCTTTGAGCTTATGTGGAAATTTTTTACCTGCTGAGTCATTTGGCTAGCCTCTTCTTTGTTGGCTGTCAGAACATTTGGTAGAGGAGAAAGAGAAGAAATGATTCAGGCAGATAAGGGAAGGCAGAGTTTATGTAAGAGCCAGGGCGGCCACCTCCCATCCCTCACAGTCGTTTTGAACAACTGAGAGGTAGCGTAAAGGAAAAAGGTCAGAGACCACGGGTCAGGAACCACACAGACTTATGGCCCACACTGGAACTGGGGTAAAGCTTCCAATAGGAATTTCAGCCCTTCGTGATGACACATGATTAAAACAGCCCCAGAACCAGGTAGCACAGAGGCAGGAGGATCTCTGTGAGTTTGAGGCCACCCTGGTCTACAGAGTGAGTTCTAGCACAGTCAGGAATACATAGAGTGACTCTTGTCTCAAAACAAAATAATAAACCCATAAATAAATAGATTTTCTGTGTTTCCTATTTTTGTTTTTATTGTGGTGCAGCACTAGACGTTGACCATGCTGTGCCCTTCAAGTGAGGCAGCTCTCTGTCTTTTCTTGGCCAGCTTCTTAAGTCAGCCCTGGGCAAGGCCTTTTGGTGTGTGTGTGTGTGTGTGTGTGTGTGTGTGTGTGTGTGT